TTAAATAAATGGAGTAGGTGGAGGTGTTTTCTCTTGCTGAAAATTATTTCAAAGCCGTAATCTTAACTTTAAAAGTAATGAACTCTTCCTTCTGAGGCAGACTCAATCATTCCATGGCCTGTGTCTCAGAAATACTTAGGGCTCAGTGCTTTTAAGCACCAGGTAATTTTTTCCACCCCACCAGCAACCTGGTATTTTATCTACCAATAATTGTTCCTGTCCTTGTCTACTGACTGGCATCACTTTCTCTACCTCTGCATCGTTCCTTGCTTACCACCCTTCCATAAGAATATAAGGTCTGTGTTTAGCTTCTTGGAACAATGTAAACAACCATAAAGACATTGAATGATGGCACTCGATGTCTCAGCCACTTTTACTGATGTTGGATTACAATTTGTCTTCAGAGGATCCAACAAACTCTTTTGCCTGAGGGTCAGGAGCAAAACTTGCAGCACTGTGTACTTTGTTCCGTGAAACCTGTTATTAAATGCTATAATAAATTAATGTATAATTAGCATGGCCAAGAATGCAGATCTCTTCTGTTGCTTTTTTGTTATGAGTGATGCTTGCTTTAGCTGATATGCTCATTAGCAAAACATAAATAGCTTTAAAGACCTTAATCATGGCCTTTTAATATTCCCCAGTACTATGTAGCTGAGGTACTGTGGGCACTTTAAAAACGAAGGAGCAAAAAGCAGTAGGTTTTATTACATGGGCCCAAAGTACAGTAGTCTTCATGCTAAACACCTAAATCATTCTGTCTACTTGGAGCTTATCCAGTGCCAACTGTGGAAGTGAGACCTTCGCAGCTCCAAGATGCCCTAGATGTGCAGCTCTTATTTCATCTCCATTTAGCAACCATCTTTATTTTGCAAGTCAGGAAGCTTCTGTAGCTGGCAGGAACATGCACAAACTTTACCTTTTGGGATTTTTCTTCCCTTCTTTTGCCACTGTTTTCACTTGAGGTAGAATTGTTTTGTTTTTGGTTTGTTTGGTTTTTTTGTTATAAAACAAGTCCTGGCTAAAACTCAATGGCTTCCAGTTCAATTTCTTCAGTTCTTTCTGCAAATAAAAGGATGGGGTTATTGATCCGGAAAAAAATCGATTGGAACATCCCAAAATTAACAACTCAGCTGATGTTAATAGCAGAAGCTTTTAGAGTCCTTCAATATTACTGCAAAAGCATATGATTATGATAGAATTGTACCCTTAAAATATAACATGAGTCTATGTTTTTTAGTTAGCTTCATACAGTGCCACTCTCAATTCTTAAAAATGTAAGTAATACAGGTTCCTTCAAAGAGGAGACTAAATGAGATGCCATTCTCTGTTGTGACTGGAATGATTTGGTTCGAGTCCAAGGCTGCTCAGCAGGCCTGCTCTCTACCTCCAAGTGCTCAGAGCTCTGGCTAATGCAAAGTCAGCTGTAGCTGACTTCTGAAAGCTCATCAGTATTACTTGTTTTTCTGAAACAACTCCTGAAGTATTCCTGAGGGACTTTGAATCAAAGCAATAGTAAATCATGCTTTGGAGTGCTTTAACATCAGTGCTTTGATGGGATACGAGGAATTGGTGAGCTCGGATCTTTGGTTAGCTGCTACAACAAATCCTGTTGGTCTGTCTTCTGCATCTGTGCACAAAGGGCATCTATCATATATTGTATCCCAGCCCCTCAGGCACTGATCAGAAGATCATTTAGGTTAAGACTGGGCAACTGATCTCCCCACCCACAGCCCCACAAAGCCTTTTATTCTGGGATCCTACAGATGGACAAACCCATTCTCCCACCATCAGTAATGAGATTTTTCCCCAGGACAATAGGGGCTAATTGGAGTTAATTGTTATTCAAGCTGCATGTGTAAATGACTGTCCCAGCCCTGCTTTGTTTGGAGTCAATGCCTAGACAAATCCCTCATCTGTTTTTTGCCTTCCTTGAAGCAGTACAGTGAGTGTTTGAGGCTCTTAAAGCAAGGGTTTTCAGCTGCTACAGAATCTCACGGACATATTTGTTGTGTGGGTTGTGGAAACCTCTTCCCCAAGTCTTGGAAGTAAAGTATGGAAAAGAGATAATTAGCCAAATATTCTTTAGAATTAATTGACTTTAGCAGACTTAAAGTGGCTGGGTTATGATACTTGAGATACTTACACTGTCTTCACCTGTCTTGTAAAAGGTTTGTCACTGGAGCATTTGTCCTCAGAAGGAAGGGGACAGAGGTGTGGGAACAAACTTCCTTCTGGAGGAAAAACCTACTTGCTGTAGCTGGAGCTGATAGCAAAGAACACTGGCTTGTTACCCTATGAATTTGACCTGAAAAGCTCTCTACCAGTGCAGGTGTATTCCCTGCAGCAAGCAGGCAACC